GGATGGGGTTGTTTAGGCGGGGCAGGGGCAGGGACAGAGATAGGGATGGGGATTGAGGTTCCTGCCCCACCCCGACCCCAATTATGTATATATATTATTATATTATATATTATTATATTATTTATATTATATATATCAAAGCATATTTAAAAGTTCTATTTATTTTAAGTAAATTTATTTTTCAAATAGGGATTCGGGTTCCCACGGGAAACCCATCCCTGTCGGGGACCAAGAGTGGAAGACAAATTTTATCCCCGACAGGGATCAGGAATGGGGACAGGGATTAATTTCATAATCGGGGTCGGAGACGGGGAATATGATCCCGCCCCATTGCCATTCCTATTAAAAATATCTCCCCATTAAAAAGTCATACAAGTACGAAGATATTCCCAATGCAAGGCTGCAAAAACTGTACAAACAGTATGAACACTGAAGCCGATCTCATAGCGAACTTGGAAGGGCGTCTTACAGATTCATGCCAGATGACTTCATCCTCAAGGGTCATCTAATGCCAACGAGAACTGCATTGGTTATTTTAAAGGGAAGGAGACAGAATAGATAAGATTCCAAAGAAGTGAGAACTTCCCACCTGCCAAATTCTAAGTTGTAACTCTGGAAAACTTTCATTGTCTCATCTTCACCGCCTTTGCATCTCTATTTTTTATTTAGTGTTTGGTGATGCACACCACTAAATACTAATAACCCCCCTTCCCCAAAGTTGTGGTTGCGAACAAGCTAACATACCAACCGAAATACCCCTCAGTGGATCCTTTTGTGTTTCTCTATTGGGGTTTAAATTATACATTTCCTTTTGAATTTATATCCATTTCAAGATCTCCTTGGCTCTCTGGATAGCGGATAGTGATGCTAAGGCTTAGTTTGGAAAGAGTATAACTAAAAATATATACAATGCAAATACAAGTTTAGAAATACAAAATATAAGGCTTTGCACAGTACATATTTGTATTTATACTCTTTCCAAACTGGGCGTAACTGTTGCATTCATCAACGTAAATCAATTGCTCCGCTGGCTTTCTCAGGGTCATGATAATGGTTTTCTTCAGACCCATATCCATACAAAATTGCCACCATAGGAGCCTACGTCACTGACCTAGGTTCTACCACAGATTGTTCATCATGGTTAACGATGGAGGCATTACAAGCCTAGGAGGTATATTAACATTGCTCATATGTCAAATGATAAGAGAACTTCACCTAAAAAAATGAAACTAGTTTGTTTCTCAACTCCGGAAAGAACTATTTATTTTCTTACAAAATAAGGGAGTGTTCTCCAACATGAATGTTTTTAAAGTTTTTAATTTTCTTGTTTCCAGATAATGTCACATGGGGGAAAACATTCTTGGATGTGTGTTTTCTCAAAACAGAAATAAATTATTTTAAGTTTGATTTGGAAAAACCTTGTTCCAAAAACCAACAAAAAAACATTTCTTTCAAGAACAAAATGTTTTCATTTCCCTATGGCAGATGTAAGCTAATTGGTGTGTTGCACATACACTAAAATCTCCTATAAACTGTTCTTTTTTTTATTCTCCTAGAAACTGTCTTACAAATGCTGATTTAAAGCTTCTTTGTATCGTACCAACCCACATCTATATCGACTTGGGTAAAGTAATAGAAAAATGAAAATAAGGTGAGCCAACATCCATCCGATCTGAATCCCAACCTTAAGATTTTGTACTTCACAGAACAAAATATCAAACCTTTAACGAAATTAATGTTTTTAAAACTAGAAATTGAAAAAACATATTTCTGGTTTCAATTCTAAAAAATCACTTCCAAAAAAAGAAACACTACATAGCAAAGAAAATGCTTCATGTGGTTTTGTTTTCAGATCATGTTTTTCAAACCATTTACAAGTCATATTTCTTGAATTCACAAAAAAATGATTCATGTTGGAGAACACCCTACACAAGCTTGAATCTGCCGGATTACCTTTCTCAACTCAACTCAACTAAGCTTTGGTCCAACTGTATGAGGTTGGTTACACGAACCTTGTTCCACCACTCTGCTCTGTTTAGTGTCATATCCATTATTGAGCCATGGGCCCTTAAATCATTTCCCACTATTTCAACCCATGTCGTTTTGGTAATGCCCCTAGCTCACCTGCTGGATTACCTTTCCCAGCAAAATTTGCTGAAGCACTCTTGGCAAGACAGCTGACAACTTTTTCCAATAAAACAGGCTTACGAATGTATTCAAATTTACTAAAGAGAAATAAATGAACAAAGAGACATAAAAGCTAACAACAAACAAGAGAATAAACTGGACAACTCCTTCAAAGAGGTTTACAAAGAAAAACATCGATGTTGCACCGGACAAGGGGGAAGGAGAAGCTTCTTTAATGACTTTCTTCGCTTTCTCTTACAGTAAAGGTGAAAGGAAGAAAGACAAAAACAAAACAAGATGGTGCATAAGATCTGATTACATCTCTACATATTTAAGATTTGTGGTGTCACCCCTATTTGTCAGGTTTCAACTTGTTCAAGCAAGATCTCAGTACTTCCTTTTGAACATAATCATATGCATTGGAAAAGAATAAATGATTAAGATATAAGGATTCGAAGCAAAGTTGAAGAGAAAACAAAGACTTGATAAATCATAAGTATTTGGGATTGAAAAAACCTCAGGTCTGGGAACATAGGAACACAGATGAGCCTCTTTGTCGGCCATAACCTATCACCTAGCCCAGGTTCAAGAATGGGAACATGCCTTCAGTGGTCCCAGCAAAGTCCAGACAGGCCTGACCTGTACAGATCATGGAAGAACTATTGGGAGTAGGGATGGACATGAACCAAACTTTTCACGAGCCATTCGAACTCGGTCTAAACCAAGCTTTGAGTCGAGCTCGAGTCTAATGAAGATCAAACTTATGTTATGTATAACATTTTTTATTTTTATTTTTATGGAGCTTGGCTCACTGTTGAGCTCAAGCTGAGCCAAGCTCAGACATATGAACCTCTGAGTTGAGCTTGAATAGCCAGATATTTGGCTTGGCTTGGCTCGAATCCACCCCAATTGAGCTGGATCCTAGATGATTAGTCCTCCCTTAGGAGATGGGCAAAGCTTAACATAGATGTGCCTATGAAGGAAATTAATTAGCTGGAAATGAATTTATCATCAAAGGTCTCTCTGTAAAAGCATTGTGGATTCACCTATCAGAAGGGATGTCATGTACTCACTGGCCCACTTCTTAATACATGATATGCCCCCACTCCACCTATGTAGATGAACATGCACAAGAAACTAAAACAAAGGAGGAAAAAGACAGCATGAGTAAAGTTCCCTACCACAGTTTATCTAGGGTGGTGATTCAGGTACATCCTATAATTCTTATTAATTATCTTCTATACCATGGCATGCTGAACTTATCAAAAACAAGGGTGTTTGGAAATAATTTCCGTTCATCACTTGGTTCTTTTAAATGGTGATGCAATTTTGACATGGGAATTATGAAATTTGGCCCCTGAAAAAATGAGAGGCTTCACAGATTGGACTAATAACTAAAAGCATGCGAGGAGTTTCAATAACCATCAATATCACGGAACAACAATCCTGACAAAATTATATTTGTTTTTGGTTAAAACAGTTGAATATACATCTTTACAGGGATGCTACCATTCAAATACAACACAATAAGCTCAAACACATTATAATACAAAGGGCATGTATGGAAGATTTCAACTCACCATGCATCAAGCCTCCACATCAGAACGTGTAGGGAAATCTAGACCATGAAGTGCAGTTATCTTCTCTAAATCCTCCTTCGAGAACAATGGGAAGAACCAAAATACTTTTTTGGTACCAAAAACCTTCAATAGAGAGAGAAAAAAAAAAGATGAGTGACACTGGAAATAAAAGCACAAGATATAAGACAATGGTGAGAGCTGCACTGTTGCCTTCACCTGCTCAAAATTCTTCTTCCATCCCAAGTCATACTTCCACCTGACTGCCTTCTTCTTCTCATTAACCTAAGATATGGTTAAGAAAATGCCAATGTTTAAAGGAAATACTACAATACAAGTTCTTAAAGAGGGACCAATGGCAAGAGCTACCATAATTTTATAAGAGAAGAAACTTGTACATTTATTACCTCTATTGTAGTGGTGTTGCTTGACAAGAGAGATGCATGCATGATCAAGAAACAAATAAGGCTTAGTGCAAAAGCCAGGTTAATAACTGCATAAAGATGAATAATTGGAATGTCAGACATGAGGAACATATATGATTGCAGATGCTACAGATATGACTACAACCCATTTGGGCAAGACAGAATTACCAAAAGCTAAAAAGGTAAGAGCAAGATTGCCTGGCGAGGTGGAACGACTCTTGGCATCTCCGAAGAATTTAATGAAATGTGGCAGCAATACAAGAGTATCCAAAGTGGTCTCCAGAAATGTATACAGCTAACAACAAAATCGAAAGAATCCAATTGCAATTAAAATATGATCTTTTTGATGCATAGTTGAAAGGGCTAGATAAGCATTCAAAGTTATAGCCTGTTCCTGTGTGACATCTTGGAACCACAAAAGTTCAGCTCAACTTTGATCAATGTTTTGAACTTTTGAAGGAAGATACTAATAATAAACACTACATACTCTCCTAGCAAAGAAAATAGAGCACACACACACAAGGGCTGCCTCTATCATTTTACTGACTTATAGGATAGTCCAATATCTAAATGAGTTTCTGAACATGCTCTGTTAGTATGGGAAAATAACTCCTATGACGCATGGAGAAAATAGCAAGGTATGCCAGATGGAGAAACATTAACATATTTATCCATGCAAATGCATGGCTTTTGTAGCATGGTAGAATGTCTGCTGAAATAATATTTGCGTTGAGCTGATCTCTTGTGAAAGGGAAGAGAGTTGATGAGCAGTAGCAAGAGATATTTTAGATAAAAGGAATAAAAAGCAGGGATATGCAACAAAGTGTTTCAGAAAGAATAGATGGAATATTAGAACAAAAGAAGATTAGATCCCACATTCAAATATATCCAAATCAATTAGTTTTATAGATATAAAGTATGGGCTAGACAGCAGTATTATCAAAGTACTGGAGTCATCAATTAAGCAACTGTATCACTAATTAGTTGGTCAATATTCACGATGGAGTCATCAATTAAGCAACTGTATCACTAATTAGTTGGTCAATACTCAAAGCATTGGAGTCATCAATTAAGCAACAAAGGGAATGTTGGAAAAAAGGAGAAGAAGCAGTGAGTGGTTTGTTTGTTTAAGGGGTATTCTGTTGCAATCTCCATGAAATTGATAAGCTGGAATGTAAGAGGGTTAGGAAGCTCAAGAAAAAGAGGAGTGATTAGGGATCTGTTGAAAAGAGAAAAACCAGATATTGTGCTGATTCCAGAATCTAAGTTGTCTGAGTTAGATAAGAATTGGGTAAGAAGTATGCGGCCAGCGAGAGACATAAGCTGGGCATACGCACAATCTTGGGGAGCTTCAGGGGGAATTATAACTTTGTGGAAAAATGCAGAGATGGAATTTACTAAGGAATTAATTGGGAAGTATTCAGTGTCCATTAAGTTGAAGAGGAGAATGGATGACTGGGAATGGGTTTTAACTAATGTGTATGGGCCCACCTCTTATAAGGAAAGGGAGGGACTTTGGGAGGAGTTAGCAGCAGTGAAAGGTCTATTGGAGGGTCCCCGGTGTTTGGGAGGAGATTTTAATGTTATAATATTTTTTAGTGAATCGAACAACCAAAATCACTGGGTTACAACAAGTATGAGGAAGTTTAACCTCTTCATAGAGACCTTTGAGTTGCGGGACTTACCTATTCAGAGGGCAAATTATACTTGGTCAAATTTTCAAGAGGCTTCCACTTGCTGTAAGTTAGACAGATTCCTATTCACAGTTGATTGGGAAGTGGCTTGGCGGGGATTGGTAGTTATAGCTCTGCCAAGACCTGTTTCAGACCACTGCTCAATAAGTTTGACCCAAGAGAGATTGGGGGGTGGCCCCTGCCCTTTTAGATTTGAGAATATGTGGCTTCTACACCCTAAATTCTTGCCAGAGGTGAAGGAGTGGTGGGAGGAAGATCAAGTGGATTTCAAATGGAAGGGTTATAGATTCTATAAGAAATTGCAATTGCTGAAAGCAAGAATTAAGATGTGGAATAAAGAGATTTTTGGAAAGATTGAAGAAAGAAAACAGGAAATTCTTAGAATAATAGAGGAGCTAGATGCTGAGGAAGCTTAGAGAAGTTTGAGTTCAGAAGAGAGGAAAGAGAGATGGGGGTTGAAAAGGATCTCTGGAAGACATTCTAAGAAAAGAGAAGGTTACTTGGAGACAAAAATGTAGATGTCAATGGCTCAGGGAAGGGGATGGCAATACCAGTTTTTTCCATATATTGGCAAATGGGAGAAAGAGGAAAAACTCAGTATTGAAATTGGAATGGAATGGGCAAGTATTGACAAGAGATGAGGACATAGCCCAAGCCTTGGTGAATCACTTCAAAACACTCTATGAGGGCCCAAGGAGGTCAATAGAAAACTTACAGGGCCTGGACTGGAGGGATGGAAATAGAGAGTTGTTGGATTCCTTGGAAAAGAAATTTGAGGTTCAAGAAGTGAAAAATGCAATCTTCTCGATGGAGAGATCTAAAGTCCCAGGACCTAATGGTTTTACAATGGCTTTCTATCAAGATTGTTGGGAAATAATTAGGGGTGACTTAATGGAGGTTTTTGATGAGTGCTATGATGTTATGGGCCCGCGCGTAGGATCTTGTCACGGGTCGGTCCACCGGGAGAGACTCTTGTCTTCCCTTGCCCTTGCATACAGACCCTATTGTGGCAATCGCGTGGGTGATTTGTCCAAGAGATCACCCGAACTCTCCTAACACCTTTCTTGGTTGAAAACTTAATGCCTTTACTTCAATTCGTAGCTCCTTAAATAGGAGATTACAGAAGGAAACTCCTTGTTGGATTCAGCTAGGCTAGGTAATCCAACTTAACTCAAACTCCTAATTACCTACTCCTAATGGTAACACAAYTCTTACTTAAGATAAGATAAGATAAGGATAAGGGATGAGGAATGGAGTAGCTGGCGGCGAGTTGGCGAGCAGAGCTGATGTGGTAAGATAAGTGCGGACCCACCCTGATGAGCTGTCGTGTGGGTCCCGCCCTACTGCTGCTGCCGGTGGCGCGCACGTCTCACAGTAAGAGTGGCATCACACTCCACTGTGAACTCAAGATCAAAGTTTGACAACTGTAGAACTGGTGTGGAGGAGAGGGCTTCTCTTAATTTTACAAAGGCTGCTTCAGTTGTACCGTCCTAGAGGAAGGCGTTTTTCTTGAGCAGACTTGTTAGCGGGGCTGCCAGCAGTCCGTAATTGTGAACGAACTTGCGGTAGTAGCCGGTCAGCCCTAGGAAACCACGGAGGGCCTTGGCGGATTGCGGTCTGGGCCATTCTTTGATGGTCTGAATCTTGGAGTCATCCACAGTGACCCCTTGACCGCTAATCACATGTCCTAAGTAAAGGACC